TGACCTTTAGAGGTCACTTCCAACCCAAACTATTCTATGATTTCATCTGGCTCATGAGAATAATCTGTAGATTTTACAGAACAAGGTAGTACTGGGGGAAAATCAAGATGGGATCCTCTCTCAAAAGGAGCTTCTCAAGCCTTCCAGTAATTGCCAAAGTTACCGGAATAGGACACATTCATGCAGGCAAGGAGCGGTTCAGTGTAGGAATGTTATCTCTGATCATACGATTATCTTTACAGGAGGCAGGCTGTGTCAAGGCTGAGATAAATAAAGGACTCTGGCAGCTTTCATGCAACAGCTAAGCAGCCTGTCCTGTTAAGAAAAACAGTTCCCTTCAGATGATCTGTGTAATGTTCATGGTCCACTGACTCTTCCAAAGTAAAGAATCAGATTTTAAAATGTGTCCTATTTTAGATGTTTGTGGATTTTTAACGGATCAGTTGATTGCATGAGAAGCTGTCTTGGCTTTCAGGTAGCTCCCCTCTCTGACTAGTAACGTAGCTTTTTTTCTGGCAAATGCAGCCTCATCAGCCCCTTTTCTCTCAGTTGTGACTAGTTGCAGACTTTTGGCTCTGTGGGCCCAGATGCACTGACAAGGTAGAATGTCAGCTAATGGATAATGAGCGCACTCTGCAGCTATCTCCCATCAGCAAGCTACAAAACAATCTGGGGAATACAACATGATGATTTGAGAGAAGCACCTTTCCCCTCCAGAGGAACATTAGAGAATAAGCTTTAGCATCTACAAGAACTGCATTGGAATAGACCTTGCCCGTGCATATAACATATAGGAGGAAATGAGGGTAGGAAAGCTTCAAATTTCCTTGTCCGTATTTATAGTTTCTTATTGTAGCTTCAAATAAATTGGTGTGAACGATACCTGTATCTCTCACTTTTTTCATCCTTTAAGTAGGTTTGTGAACTGTAATGCTTTTCCTTCTGGTAGTTGATGGCTTTGTGGTGCAGAAAGTTGGCTATAAGTAGCATTTCTCCTGTTTCACATTTGGTAACAAGTTTGACAATGGCTTTGCAGCTAGCCAGATAAGTCTTCATGGCACCTTTTAAAAACAAAACCAATAGACCAAGTAGACCAAATGGTCTGTATAGACCAAACTCCTAGAAATCCCTTGCTGAAGCTGGTAATCAGTTGAGTTTCTGTATCGTGTTCTCCGATGTAGAGCTGTTTTCTTTGCAAAGTGAAGTGGAGGGATGTGACCAATCCTGCATCTCAAGTATCTGGATATATAAATTAATTAGAGAAAGTGCTGGCAATATCCTTCCTACTTCTTTGAGATTTTGAGGCACAGAGCACTTGTCAAGCTCACAGGACATCTTGGCTTGACCACATCGTTTTGCATTAAAGTTTAGGCAGATTTTTCCATCTCTTCATTTTTTTTAACACAGTTGCATTGAGTCATTTATTCCCACTTAGAGTTTGTGCTGTGATAGCATTGGTTTGATTCTCTGTGTACCAGTTATACTGGGTCTTCATGATGAGAATGGTGGTGATGATTTGTATTTCGAATAACATACCTAAAACATCATATATGTTCATGAAATGCATATAAACAGATGTCAGCTTGATTTTCAGTCCTTTCTTGCCTTAGAGTGATTGCTGCCAGTCTTTCTCCCCACCCCAGATATTGCAGCACTGAAACAAGCATTTTTTTTTTTAATGCTCCATTAATTTTATTTAATTATACGGGAATTATTTTGTATTTCTGGGTTTTTTTACTTTGAAAAGGCTGACAAAAACCCCTTGAGATTGTTAGAAAACAAGAGGAATGAAATAATTTCAGATGGATAAAAAGTTCTTGTTTTTATTGTCATCCTTTTTTTCTGCTTGTGGACTTTGCAGCTATGTTGGGGTATGCATCAGAAGAGAACAAGTTAAACACAGATTGTGAAAAGATATTTCTGTTGAGGTAGCTGAGCCTAGCTGATGGCTCTGTTGTGTATAAAGAGTTCCAAGTAGAAAACCTCTTGTTTTATGATGATTTAGTATATTCCTTCTTTGTTTTCCCTCACTTTGGTGTTCTTGTGTTACCCAGAGTCCTTTGGTTTTTCACTGTCAGCCAGCAGTGGCAGAGCAATATTCCAGGTCAGTTCCCCTGTTACTGAGTGAACTCAGGGTTGGAGAATGTAACACGGATTACAAAAATAGATTTGGCTGAGGTGGTATCACCATCTAGAGAGAATGAAATGAAATGTGAATCCCAGCTGAAAAGGCAGTCCAGTTCCATTAAACTTTGAAAATACTAACACAACATAAGGCTTGGCAGCAGGAAATGGTAGAGACCACAGTATCCCTAGAAATGGAAGGTAATGTTCCCGCCTGCCACCTGAGCAAGCTTCTGTGGTTTATACCATAAGGAAGCCCTGTAGTTCAAGCCAAGGGCACAGCAGCCACTTGCCCACATCATAGAAGGGTTCAATAATACTAAGGAAGAGAGAAAAACACTCCTGGCAGTTGTCTTTGTGAGATTTTATCTTTCTGGAGAGGGGTTGGAAATAAATGCCACTAATTATGGCAAGGCCTATGTAGTTTTGTGTGAAAGACTAAGATGGTACCGAGTGAGTAATTGCCCTGAAAAAAAGGCTGTTAGGAATAAACTGAGAAACTGCAAAGGATGGAGAAAGAAAACAAAAACTTGGAGGTCAAAATGTGTGAGGATAAAGTAAACATTGCCAAAGCTCATGCTGGGTTAGACCTTGCAAAGGAAAGGAAAGCAAACAGCTGTATTCCTTAAGCATGTAAGTAAAAGCAAGGTAAGGGAAAGCAGAAGTGGGTCCACAGTGAAGGTGAGGCTGACATAAAATGCAGTTTTACGTATAGTCAGGCAATCAAATGAATACTTGGCCTCCAGTTTTGGTTGGGACAATGGCATTGGACATGGGAGCAAAAGAAGTCAGTGTGTAGCAAGATGTGGAGATTAAAATTAACCCAATGAAGCTGGAAGCAAAATCTAAATATTACTATACTTTAATGAGTGGAAATAAAATTCGACCAAATAGTCTGTCTCAGAAGAGTGGAAGAATTGTACAATGAAATTGTGAACTTTGTGGTAATAATCTGTGATTAAATCAAGCTATCCTGATGTACCTTGACTATCTAATTCAGGGTAATACCATGTGACTACTGGGTGACAGAAGTATGACCTGCAGATAAACAATTAAAAAGAAAAGGAAAAAAAAAAAAGGTGATCTGAACAAGTACATATCGGTTAATCTAAACAGTAGATAAAACACCTTCTTTGAAGGAATAACTAAAGACTGCTAGTTCTGCAAGTGAAGTCCTTTGACCTTATGAAGGTAAGTGGTATAAAATGTGACATGGATTCACCAAAGACTATGCCAGACTAGCTTGACGGCCTTTAACGACAAAGTAACTGATTATCTCCATAAGGGAAATGTAGTGCCTTTGAACAGTCTGGACTTCAATAAAGCACCTGAAGGCTGCCACATGGAAATAATTATTTAACCTGGATAAAATGAGGGAGTAGTACACGAAGTGTCAAGTAGCTAAGAAGTTGACTTAAATGAGAGATTAGAGGTTTTATTGAAAAAGGAAATAATGGGGTTGGATGTCACCTACAGACTGTGGAGTTTCACCAAAAATGGTCTGGGGGCTGATCTTTGTAATACTTTCACTAAGGTTACTGGCGAAAAGAGGAAAAAAATCTGCTAATGAAGTTCATTACTGAGGCAACATTTCAAACCCTCATCAATGCAGAGGAGGATAGGCATGTTATACACTAAGAACTGCAAAATGTTGCAGACTGTAATATTAAAAATAGAAATGTAATAGTAGAAAGTACCAGGTCATGCACTAAGAAAGTGTTGAGAGTTTTGGCTACCAACAAGGTGCTTATCAATTGAAAGCAGAGAAGGAGAAAGATCTGAATATCAGTCAATACATAAAAGCCACCAGTATTATGTGGCGTATAAATAGGCAAGTGTGTTCTCAGTGTGTATCACATGAGAGATTTCTGGCAGGGTTGTATGTTACACTGATAAGGCCTCATCTGGAAAGCTATGTTCAATTCTAATCACGCAGGTTCTGGAAAGATTAATCCAAACTGGGACAGGTGCAGAGACCTAGGGGATGATTAGCACACTGAAGAGCTAATCTCATGAGAAGGAGGCTTGGCTTGTTTAGCAAAGCAAAATAGAAGCTAGGAAAGATTGGGCTCTGTAAATAGTAAGCTGAGTAGGGGTAAACAGTGGCACGGTATTTAAGTTAAAATACTAGAATTTCAAAAAGAAATGGATGAATGCAGGTTAGAATTTAATTAATTGAGTGCCACAGTGAGTGAAGCTCCTGTATAATTTTCTCCAACTGCCTGGTTCACATGCCCTTGCAATTTTCTGGGATTCATGGGATCTGGGCTTGCAAACATCTGACCTAGATTTTTCCCCTGTAGTTCATTTCATCACAAACTCCGATTAAAAAGCAAATTAATTCAAGTCTATGAAAAGTTTTAAAACTTGCTCCAGGTGGGCCTTTTTCATTCCCTTCCTTCCCCACCTTTAAGTAGTAGTAATAATTTTTTGTTTTGTTTTTTTGTTCCCTGACCCTGTAGACCTACCTTGACTGGTAATAATTTTAACATTATGCATCAGGATTGCCCCATAGCATTCTTCCTTTTGTCTCATAGAATATATGCAGTCTGTGGTCAGGCCTTCCCCAATGCTTACTACATAGGCTTCATTTCAGCTCTAGTTTTTGCAGCTAAAATGTCCTTATTTCCTCTCTCAACTAGGACATTTAACATTCTTTTTAGCATCTATTAGCCAAAACCACTAAGATTCCCTTTTGCAGTCTGGCTCCCCAGCAGGTTCTGCCAGTAGTGGTGAACAGGATAATGACATAAGGTATTCTCTCGCTTTATTTACCTCCCTCTGCCTCATGCCCTGTTTCTCCCAATTGCTCAATTTCCTTAAAAAATTACAGTTCTGACTTGCATTTATTGTTTATTCACTGGCTTATTCTTTAGGTTCTAATGTAAATGGGCTGGAAGAGCCCAGCCTTGCTAAGCGGCTGCGTGGCACGCCTGAGCGGATTGAGCTGGAGAACTACCGACTGTCACTGCAGCGGGAAGAAGAACTGGAAGAGGTTCCTGAAGAGACGCTAGCAGAGCATAACCTGAGCAGTGTGTTGGACAAAGGAACAGAAGAGGATGTGCCCAGCAGGTTAGCACACATTGTCCATAAGCTTTTTTTATACCCATCCCAACAGATTTTTGCCTGCTTTTCCCTTAGTTTTTTTTTAACATATTATTTACCAGGCTGCCCTTTCTAAAGTTGTTGAAAATGTTCTGCATATGTACACAGGTATTTTATCTTGTAGTATCTGTTCTTCTAAATAGCTTACTACCATTCTTAGAAGACACCTATAGTACCATAATACCATGAAATTCAGTCCTAAGTTGGAAAGCATTTTAAAAAAAATTTGTTTTAAATTGTATCAAAGACAAATGAGTCTTTTGAGCAAACAGAACATGGATTCAAATGGGAGGGGGTTCCAAAGTTAACTTCTTTTCTATATGTTTTGTGTTACAATTCAAAACCACTTTTGGTTTAAAGATTCAGGCTTGACACACATGTAATGCTGACTGAATGTTGATGCAATGCCTGAGAGATGTTAATTTGAAGTAATAGTTATGGCTGTTGAAAAAACATATTGTACCTTCACAAATTTCCCTTTATCTGCAAAATGATGTATAAGCACATCAGGATCCAAATACATGCAGGTAGAGCTACTGGAAATAGTTGTTGCAAGAATCATTGAGAGAAAATATGTGACGAAGAATGCTGGTGAACTTTATAGTCAATCACACTTTTTGCAGAGTCTCGATCTCTTAATATGGTTTCTAATCATCTACTTTTCTTTGTAGCAATAACAACCCTTCCTTTTCAGCTGTCAGTGTGTCCAGTAGTCATCTTGAAATAAACTCAGAAAATGCTGTTACTCATTTCCTGAGACTTAGATCCTACAAACGTATTCTATGTATGCATTACCTACAGGTATAGGGCTGTATGAGAAATTCCTTACTACATTTATACATGTGAAATTGAATTGGATTGGTGTGGCGAAGAATGCAGGAATAAAAATGTTCATTAAAATGTTTACAGGATTAATGTAGTACAGAATCTGTCATTTATTTATCTGATAAGTTTGAAGATGCAGCAGCTGGAAGGGAGTAACTTTTAGTAGCCTGAACTCAGCCTTGACAGAGTGTGTACATGTGGACTCATGAAGGTGTGCCTTTCATATAAGTGCCTGGCAATTGCTAATGTCTTGTACAGCTGTTTTCTCTGAAACCTAAATAATACTTTTTGATTAATTTCTTAACATACCAATTTCTTTAGAAGATACTATTTTGGCATTTTACATAATTAAGATCTTATCTAGTGCTCTGGTTGAATGATCACGGGACTATTTGTGGGAGATGCAAACTCTGTTTGCTTCACTCATCCTTCCTTTAGCTCCCTGCTCAGGCCTAGGAATTATATCAACTGTGACAGTATAGGCTTTAATGATATTGAGGGGGTTGTAGTCCTTTATGTTTCTAGCTCTAAAACAAAATTTACTAGTATGGAGTATTATTATCGGTCTTGATTTCAGTAAATCAGGACAGAGTAGGCCCACTCAGTAAATGGCGGAAGACTTCCAAAGGAGGAGAAGGGTTAGTTAAAAAAAGTGGAGTTCTGGCATTTTGACATGAAGCTGTTGGTCAGCTCCAAGAGGTGTTTTGCGAGATTGTGGAGACTGAGGGCAGTACACTATTAGGTTAGTGAGTTTGATTTCCTCTGGTAGGGTGCTACATTTAGTTCCCTTTGTCCTACATGCTGCCCTTAACCTGTATTAAACTGACTGTTTCTGTCTGTGATAGACTGAAGTGTATAATTCTGCATGCGAAAAGCATGTTTAGGGGGCAACTCACTCTATGATAGAAAGGAAAGAGAAAATACATCAAATTCCCTGTCAGTTTGACCTGGAAAAAATTCTGTCTCAAATCCAAATATGACAAGCAATTTACTCAGAGCATTGATAAGGCTGTGCGGGCCAAACATCAGAGAGAGAATTTTCTAGATGATGCAGCTGTTGGGTATCCTCTGTTCAGCTCTACCCGCCCCATGATATGTCACAGAAAGTCCCCCCAAAAAAACAAGGGAAAAAGTCTTGTCTGCTTTTTCAGCAACAAAAGAAAAAAAGTTTGACTCCTGCAACAAGCCAACCAAAGCCCTGATTTGATCATCTTCACTGTCTTGGTGCAGTGCTGCAGGGTTAGGAGCAGGCGGAGGAGATGGGGAACTTTTTGTTCCCGACGTGTCTTCCGGAGCAATGGATTGGGCTTCAGGGTTCAGTGAGGTGTTAACTCTAAATCAAGCAGAGACCACGCATTTTGGTGCACACCTTCCCATTACGCACATGCTTAGAAGCATGCACACTGCAGAGGAAATTTACAGAAAACAGTATTCAAAGTATGTTTTTTCAAAAGAGAGTTAATATTGTTTAAGCTTCAACAAGAAAAAAAGATCATTTAAGCAACCAAACCCTGACTACACAGCTTTTGAGGGGCAGAAAACCCTTTAGATGCCTTATTCATCCCCTTTAACTTGCAGTTACTCCCAGTATGTCATCTGCAGTTTGGTATAATACCCTGTGGCCTTTCGAAGGAGTGTCATAGGACAGCTTGTGCTGTATGGACTTGTATGACAAGGGAAGAGAAGAGCTTCGTTTCCACAATTCAGGTTTTGGTTCCTCTCCTTAGCACTAAATCTGTGTAGGTACACCTTTTTAATGAGATAGTCAACTGCTTATACAAATTCTATAAAGCAACCTACTTTGGTCTTTGATCTCTGCTTTATAGGGGAAAAAAAAAAGTTTCAGCTGCTGAATTAATTCCTGTGGCACAGAATTGCCATGCTGAAAGGAATGCCCACTATACCAGGCCATCTCACTGCCATCTTTCAGCTTCTCATTTCTCGGTATTCAAAGGTCAAACAAAAACCAAGTTATAAATAAAAGCCAAAGAAGGTAAAGTGAGCTATGTGGTAAAGAATTTATGTCGTCAATATTATATGTGATAAGCCGGCTGGTTGAAGAGCAAGCAGCTCGTCCCATTCAGCAGTCATGGCAACAGTTTGAGCAGCAGTAAACCTTATTGACAGCACGCAAAAACCCCAGCATTCAGCACCTGTCAGGTTTATTTCCATACCAAATGGTGGGAAAATTAATCAGGGAGGAGGGGAACATCACTTTTTATCTCTCTGACCATGTCTGCGTGAAGCCTTTGGAATATGCTCTGGTCTCCTGCAATATGTACCGAGTCCATGGCATGCAACAGTGCTTGTATTCAGTATTTAGCATGTGAAAACCAGGCAACCTGTTAAAAATAAGTATTCAGTTTATGCTGTGAAAAAAGTGGGTTGTAGTTTGAGCAAAATAATATTATATATATGCAGAACATATGCAGAACAGTGAGGAGAATTTAAGAGCCTCCTCCAGTTTTGGTTGGGACAATGGCATTGGACATGGGAGCAAAAGAAGTCAGTGTGTAGCAAGATGTGGAGATTAAAATTAACCCAATGAAGCTGGAAGCAAAATCTAAATATTACTATACTTTAATGAGTGGAAATAAAATTCGACCAAATAGTCTGTCTCAGAAGAGTGGAAGAATTGTACAATGAAATTGTGAACTTTGTGGTAATAATCTGTGATTAAATCAAGCTATCCTGATGTACCTTGACTATCTAATTCAGGGTAATACCATGTGACTACTGGGTGACAGAAGTATGACCTGCAGATAAACAATTAAAAAGAAAAGGAAAAAAAAAAAAAGGTGATCTGAACAAGTACATATCGGTTAATCTAAACAGTAGATAAAACACCTTCTTTGAAGGAATAACTAAAGACTGCTAGTTCTGCAAGTGAAGTCCTTTGACCTTATGAAGGTAAGTGGTATAAAATGTGACATGGATTCACCAAAGACTATGCCAGACTAGCTTGACGGCCTTTAACGACAAAGTAACTGATTATCTCCATAAGGGAAATGTAGTGCCTTTGAACAGTCTGGACTTCAATAAAGCACCTGAAGGCTGCCACATGGAAATAATTATTTAACCTGGATAAAATGAGGGAGTAGTACACGAAGTGTCAAGTAGCTAAGAAGTTGACTTAAATGAGAGATTAGAGGTTTTATTGAAAAAGGAAATAATGGGGTTGGATGTCACCTACAGACTGTGGAGTTTCACCAAAAATGGTCTGGGGGCTGATCTTTGTAATACTTTCACTAAGGTTACTGGCGAAAAGAGGAAAAAAATCTGCTAATGAAGTTCATTACTGAGGCAACATTTCAAACCCTCATCAATGCAGAGGAGGATAGGCATGTTATACACTAAGAACTGCAAAATGTTGCAGACTGTAATATTAAAAATAGAAATGTAATAGTAGAAAGTACCAGGTCATGCACTAAGAAAGTGTTGAGAGTTTTGGCTACCAACAAGGTGCTTATCAATTGAAAGCAGAGAAGGAGAAAGATCTGAATATCAGTCAATACATAAAAGCCACCAGTATTATGTGGCGTATAAATAGGCAAGTGTGTTCTCAGTGTGTATCACATGAGAGATTTCTGGCAGGGTTGTATGTTACACTGATAAGGCCTCATCTGGAAAGCTATGTTCAATTCTAATCACGCAGGTTCTGGAAAGATTAATCCAAACTGGGACAGGTGCAGAGACCTAGGGGATGATTAGCACACTGAAGAGCTAATCTCATGAGAAGGAGGCTTGGCTTGTTTAGCAAAGCAAAATAGAAGCTAGGAAAGATTGGGCTCTGTAAATAGTAAGCTGAGTAGGGGTAAACAGTGGCACGGTATTTAAGTTAAAATACTAGAATTTCAAAAAGAAATGGATGAATGCAGGTTAGAATTTAATTAATTGAGTGCCACAGTGAGTGAAGCTCCTGTATAATTTTCTCCAACTGCCTGGTTCACATGCCCTTGCAATTTTCTGGGATTCATGGGATCTGGGCTTGCAAACATCTGACCTAGATTTTTCCCCTGTAGTTCATTTCATCACAAACTCCGATTAAAAAGCAAATTAATTCAAGTCTATGAAAAGTTTTAAAACTTGCTCCAGGTGGGCCTTTTTCATTCCCTTCCTTCCCCACCTTTAAGTAGTAGTAA